TTTCCAGACATTATTGAAAGGGATCTTTTCCTAGCGTATATTTTTGTCTGCTTTGTCAAAGATTAGGTGGCTATATGAGGGATGGTTTTTATCATGATTGTCACATCTGTTTCACTGGTCAATATTCCTATTTTTGTGCCAATCCTATTGTTTAATTACTAAGCTTTGTAGTTATAGTTTTGTATTGGCATTTAATGCCTCCCATTTTGTTTTTGTTGCTAGATTGCTTGTTGGTTATTCGGGTCTTCTTAGGTTCCATACGAGCGTATAATTATTTTTCTAATATCTGTGAAGAATGCTGATGGTTAATAGGTTTGCATTGAATCTGTAGATCAGTTGGGTAGTATAGACATTTTAATGATGTTGAGTCTGCCAATCCGTGAGCATTGAAATGGATTTCATTTGTTAACACCTCTGCTATTCTTCTCAGTTATCATAGTTCTCCCTGTGAGCGCTTTTAACCTCCTTGGTCTAAGTATATTCTATAATTAAATTCTTTGTTGATATTGGAAGGGACTTGACGTCTTTGCTTTTGGTTCTCAATTTTTGTTGTTAGGCAATATATGATACTCGATTTCTGTGTATTGATTTTGTATCCTGAGGGACTTTTTACTAATTCATGATCAGTTCCAGAGTTTTGGTTGAATCTTTGGGATTTATAGACATAATATCATATCATCAGCAACAGTGAGTTTGATCTCTTCTGCCCCTTTTTGGATACTTTAATTCCTTTTCCTGTCTGATTGCTGTAGCCAGTACTTCCAGCACTATGGTGACGAAGTGGGATGGTGGGCAGCCTTGTCTGGTTCCAAGTTCTAAGTGGGAATGTTTCAATCTTTCCCCATTCAGTATGGTATGGCTATGGTCGTTCAGTTATGGCTTGTATCATTTTTGGTATGTCCTTCTATGCCTATTTCTTAAGTGTTTGTATCATGAAAGGTGTTGAATTTTGTCAAACGCTTTTTCTGCATCTTTGAAAGATCATGTGGTCTTTGTTTTGCTTCTGTTTATGTGGTGAATTTGCATATAATTTAGTATGTTGCCATCCCTGCTTTCTGGGATGAAGCCACATTGGTCGGTGGTGGATGTATTTTTGTAAGCATCTGGATTTGGTTGTTAGCATTTGTTGAAATTTGTTGCATCTATATTCATTAGGAATATTGGTCTGTAGTTTTCTTTTTATGTTGCATCCTTTCCTGGTTTGGTATCGAGATATGTTTGCTTCATAAAAAGGTGTCGGGGAGGTGTCGTTTTCTCGAGTTGTGGAATAGTTCTGCGATAGGTGCTAGTTCTTCTTTTAAGTGATGGTAAATTCGAGTGTGACATCGGCCGGACTTTTTGGGGGGGGCTTTTTAATTGCTGCTTCTATTTCAGCTCGTTGAGGGTTGGTTGTTCAGGGATCATTTCTCCTAGTTGGCCTAGGGGTATAGGTTTCTAGTTGAATTTGTCCTTTTTCCACGTTTTCCGTTTGTTGTGCATAAGACTTTGTAGTACTCATAATTATATCTTGTGTGTATGATGTGTTTTCTGTGTTATTAGAGTGCTTTTCGTTAGCTTACCTGGGTGTCAAATTTTGTTTATTTCAAGAACCTTTTCCTGAATAGCTTCCTGTTTCTATTGTTTGTTTCACTTCTTCTACTGGTTTGCTGGTCTGTTTCTTCCAGTCTTTTGAGTCGTTCTTAATTGTCTTATTGTTGTGTTATGGCATTATGGAGAAAACTTCCTACTCAGATTGCTTTAGCTGTGCAGAGGGTGATAAACTTGTCCGTCATGTCGTTTTCTTCATGAATTATTCCATCTTGTTCTTTGTAGGTATGGTAAAATTGGGTGTGAAACCATCTGGTGCTTTTTAGGAAGGTGTTTTATTGCTGTTTCAATTTCCAGTACTTGATATTGATCTGTCAGAAATTTATTGTCCTGTTTAGTGCTGTAATCTATGGTCATTAAATTTGCCATAGACAATTTTCAGTGTGTGTGGCATAAAGTTTTGTAGTATTCATAATAACATCTCTGTGGCACTCAGTTGTAATTATTGTTCCTGACAGAGCTTATTAGAGATTTTTTTTCTGTTTTTCATTAATCTAGCCAATGGTGTGTCAATTTTGTTATTTTTTCAAAGAACCAACTTTTTGTTTTATTAATTTCCTTTATAGTTTCCCTCTTGTGAATTTCATTTAGTTTCAATTTGATCTTAATGATTCACTTCTGCTGAGTTTGGGGTCAGTCTGTTCTTTTTCCTGCTCTTTGAGATGATTCATTAGCTTTGTCTTTTGTGATCTTTTCAACTTTTGGATATAGGTATTTATGGAAATAAACTTTCCTCTCAGGACTGCGTTACCTGTGTCTCACAAATTTTGATAACTTGTGTCTCCTTTGTCATATACTTGAAAGAATCTTTTGATTTCTATCTTGATTTCCTGATATATTAAGTGATCATTCAGCAGAAGATTGTTTAGGTTTCATGACTTTGTATAGAAATGAGAGTTCCTGTTTGGGTTGATTTCTGCTTTATGTCCATTGTGATCTGAAAAGATACATGGTATATATTTGCCATTTTTAAAAATTGTTGAGACAATGCTTTGTGTCCTAGGATATGGTCAACTTAGAGAATGCCCCCATGAGCTGATGAGATAAAGCGTATATTCAGAGGTTTTTATGTAGAATGTCCTGTAAATGTCATTCAGGCCCATTTGTTCTTAGAGTTTTTGTTTATGTTCCATTATTTCTTTGTTAACTTTCTGTTTGGAGATCTCCTCTGCTGTGATTGTATGATATTCTAGGACCAAAGCAGTCTCAAAAGGATTACTTTTAGTCATGGTGGCTAATAGTATTGTGACTTTCATGTTAAGTGTGCTAACTTAAACAGGACGAATTAGGACCTTAGTCAGAACTATAAACTGCGTTAGTGCTATACCCTTACTAAAAAAGGCACATTTGAAGTACTGCTGGACATGCTCCAGTTGATAATACACGGTTTTCCGTCTTTTCTGAATCCCTACAGAGAGAGAAGAGTTATATATACTTTGCGAGTTACTATTAGGTTCTTCTTCTCCAACTGGACCAATATTTCCATGTACCCCTAGAGAAATAATAAACAAATCTTAAAAGAAAGCATGTCGTTTCTATGAATCTACCGCATATATGCACTCCTCGCTTCAGCTTGAACAACCACGACCAGATTGGTTTCAGAGGCGTGGCACTAACATGCAGAAACACTTCATAAGCTCATTGATGTCTGAAAAAAAATAGAAACTCTGTAGGCATCATAAGAAACACATGGACACTTGTAGGGTCATGGGTTTATATTTCCTGTCACATATAGAGAATACATTTGGAATGTGGATGCTGGTTTGTTCATGACCCACTAAGGCATTGCAACTCCTTACACAAGTACATTTTCATGTTTTTAGGTGGTCAGAGATGAAACTCTAACCAAAATTATAGTTTGCAAGACTGCTGATGACTTTGCAGAATGTCATCATCCCTGGATCCAAAATGGCCTTTTGATGACACGGCTTAGTGCAGCAGGCTGCCTCTGACTCATTAATGTGGGACAGAAGACCAGCTGAAGGGCATGAACTTCAGAAAGCAAGGGCTGACATGCTCAATCCATCTTTACGTGTATCCACTCCAACACAATAGTTATAGAGTAACTCTATGCGAGGTGCTGATCTCAGCACTGGGAATGGCCCGAAGTAAAACAGGTGAAGCTCTCCTCTCAAAAGTGTTGCATTCGCCAACATTAGCATGTGGATACATCTCGGGAGTTTTTCCATTTCCTTGAAGATGTAGCTTTGTTAGGCACTAAGACCCTGAGGACCCAGCATCATCAGTCCAGCATCATTCAAAATATAATTCTGGGACCACCTGGCATCAGAATCACCTGGGACAATTTTGAAAATCAGACTCACACTGTCTTAAGAAAAAGCCTGAAAATCTGCATTTTAATTAGTACCCTAACTGCCAATTCATAGGGAAGCTTAAAGACCACCATTCCAGGGATTAACATCTAATAATTTTTTGAGGAAAATAATGCAAAGTATTTTAAGTCAGGAGTAATTTGCAGACCTTGTGACCATGGCCAGAATTGCCAAATTGCTATAAAAGCCATGGTCTTCCCATTCTAACACTATGTATTCAGAAGGAAACAGCTGCAGACTGATTATATTAATGATTTCCAGAACACGTATTGAAAAGTTAAATAATATATGCTTACAACATGTTTTGATCCTCTACTAATTTCACCATCTCTCTTCCTTCTGTAATTTGAGATATTTTATGTTGATTTTTTCTTCACCAAAGAACAACTTAAAATTTTTCCTATCAGTCCCATGAATGGTGAGTAAGAGGAGGAGAGGTTATTTAAGTTCTAAATCAATGCTCTTTGCTAAAATTTGAGGTAAATAAATAATTAAAAATTCACAGATGGAATATCTATAATTATTATAAATATAGCAATAGTCATAAAAGTTTCCTTTAAAAGCAGCAGATAAATGAATCACAGCTGTTGTTAAAAGCTTTATATTTCTAAAGAAATATGAAGTCAGTTTGATTGATAATATTTAATGCCCTTTGAGCATCTGTTAAATGGTCTTCTTTCATTTTTGGTAATTTCTAAAAGTTGAAGACATATTACAAATTACTTGCTAACCTAAGAAACACTAGTTTTATATCTGGTAAAATGTTACCAGAATACATTACTTCTTGTATGTTATCTACAGCCCCACTCAAGTAAAGGTACCATCACATAAGAGCAACTACTAATAAAAGAAAGTTCCTATTTCTCCAACCCTAGCTTAAAAATGACCATTCCTAATATATATATTATATAGTTAAATATATATATATATAGAGTAGATAATATATGATATTAATCACCAACTATTTAAAAGTAAGTAAATTTGTTACCTTGGTATACTGTCCTCCTAGCAATTCTGAACTCTAATGTTTCATCACAAAACATCATCCTTAAAGCCTTTAAGTTCTGTGAGTTTTCTCACCTGGAATACTTTGTCTCGTTATCTCCCTTCCCATTTTGCATCTTTTGACCCTTGAAATCTCAGCTCATGACCCCAATCTGGGAGGCCTTTCCTCATGGCCCCCAACAATAGTCCCTTTCTTCTCCTTGTAGGTAGGATTCTACTTCAGTGTTCCTCACAAAGTGATTCCTTGTACTCTCTGCCTCTGCAGGCATCACAGCTGGTCAAGTTGTCATGGAGCCCCCACCCCTCTTGTGAGCACTGCTGCCAAGCCTCTGGCAGGTCACAATGCCCGAGATTTAAAGTGGAGGTAGCAAACTGCTGGTTCTTGGCCCACTGCAGCCCACAGAGGATTTATTTTATTTTATTTTGGCAAATTATGGGGGTACATATTTTAGGGTTTCAATAAATGCCCTTTCCCCCCATCTCCCCAAAAGTCTGAGTCTCCAGCATGACCATCCCCCAAATCGTGCACATCTCACTCATTATATATGTATATACCCGCCCCCTCCCACCTGCCCAATACCCTATTACTGTAGTACCTATGTGTCCACTTAGGTGCTGCTCAGTTAATACCCAATGCTGGTGAGGATATGTGGTGTTTGTTTTTCCATTCTTGGGATACTTCACATAGTAGTATGGGTTCCAGCTCTAGCCAGGAAAACATAAGATGTGCTATGTCACTGTTGTTTCTTAGAGCTGAATAGTACTCCATGGTATAAATATACCACATTTTATTAACCCATTCTTGGATTGATGGGCACTTGGGCTGTTTCCACAGCCTTGCGATTATGAATTGTGCTGCTATAAAAATTAGAGTGCAGGTGTCTTTTTGTAGAGTGTCATTGGATCTTTTGGGTAGATGCCCAGCAATGGGTTTGCTGGATCAAATGGTAGATTCATCGCTTTAAGATCTATTCATATTGCTTTCCAGAGAGGTTGAACTAGTATGCAGTACCACCAGGAATGTAGGAGTGTTCCTCTCTCTCTGCATCCATGCCAGCATTTATTGCTTGAACACTTTTGATAAAAACCATTCTCACTGGAGTTAAGTGATATCTCATTGTGGTTTTGATTGGCATTTCCCTGATGATTAGAGATGTTGAGCATTTTTTCATATGTTTGTTGGCCATTCTTCTGTCTTCTTTAGAAAAGTTTCTGTTCAAGTCCTTTGCACATTTTTTAATAGGGTTACTTGATTTTTTTCTTGCTGATTTTCGTGAGTTCTAAGTATGTTCTAGTTATCAGCCCTTTATCCGATACGTAGGATACAAAATTTTCTCCCATTCTGTAGGTTGTCTGTTTACTTTCTTTGGCTGTGCAGAAGCTTTGTGGTTTGATCATGTCCCATTTATTTATTTTTGTTGCTGCAGTGATTGCCTTTGGGGACTTCTTCATAAACTCTTTGCCTAGGCCGATGTCTAGGAGAGCGTTTCCAACATTTTCCTCTAGAATTCTAATAGTTTTATACCTTAGGTTTAAGTCTGTTACCCAGCGTGAGTTGATTTTTGTGAGAGGTGAAAGGTGTGGATCCTGTAATAGCCTTCTACAAGTGGCTATCCAGTTTTCCCAGCACCATTTATTGAAAAGGGATTCTTTTCCCTAGCGTATATTTTTGTCTGCTTTGTCAAAGATTAGGTGGCTATATGAGGATGGTTTTATATCATGATTCTCACATCTGTTCCACTGGTCAATATTCCTATTTTTGTGCCAATACCATATTGTTTAATTACTATAGCTTTGTAGTATAGTTTGATATCTGGCATATTAATGCCTCCCATTTGTTTTTGTTGCCTAGAATTGCTTTTGATATTCGGGGTCTTCTTAGGTTCCATACGAAGCGTAAATTATTTTTTCTATATCTGTGGAAGAAATGCTGATGGGATTTTAAATAGGTATTGCAATTGAATCTGTAGATCAGTTTGGTAGTATAGGACTTTTTAATTGATGTTAGTCTGCCAATCCTTGAGCATTGAATGATTTCCTTTGTACATCCTCTTGTATTTCCTCTCAGTTTTCATTTCTCCTGTAGAGGTCTTTTACCTCCTGGTTTAAGTATATTCCTAGGTACATTAATTTCTTTGTTGATATTTGAAGGGATTGAGTCTTTGTATTGGTTTCTCAATCTGATGTTTTGGCGTTAATGAACCTCTGATTTCTGTGTATTATTTTGTATCCTGAGACTTTTACAAATTCATTGATTCAGTCCAGGAGTTTTGTTGAATCTTTGGGATTTTATAGATATTATATTCATATCATCAGCAACAGTGATAGTTTATCTCTTTGCCCTATTTGATACCTTTTAATTCCATTTTCCTGTCTGATTGCTGTAGCCAGTACCTTCAGCACTATGGTGACAGAAGTGGAGATAGGGCAGCTGTCTGGTTCCAGTTCTAAGTGGGAATTATTTCAATCTTTCCCCATTCAGTATGGTATTGCTATGGGTCTGTCATATATGGCTTGTATCATTTTTAGGTATGTTCCCTTCTATGCCTATTTCTTAAGTGTTGTATCATGAAAGGGTGTTGAATTTTGTCAAAAGCTTTTCTGCATCTATTGAAAGATCATGTGGTCTTTGTTTTGCTTCTGTTTATGTGGTAATTGCATTTATAAATTTACGTATGTTGAACCATCCCTGCATTTCTGGGATGAAGCCCACTTGGTCGTGGTGGATTATTTTTTGATAAGCATCTGGATTTGGTTAGTTAGCATTTTGTTGAAAATTTTTGCATCTATATTCATTAGGAATATTGGTCTGTAGTTTTCTTTTTATGTTGCATCCTTTCCTGGTTTTGGTATCAGAGTAATGTTTGCTTCATAAAAGGTGTCGGGGAGGTGTCCGTTTTTCTCGATGTTGTGGAATAGTTTCTGCAAGATAGGTGCTAGTTCTTCTTTGTAAGTGTGGTAAAATTCGAGTGTGAAACCATCTGGACCGGGACTTTTTTGGGGGGGGAGCTTTTTAATTGCTGCTTCTATTTCAGCTCTTGAGGTTGGTCTGTTCAGGGAATCTATTTCTTCCTAGTTGAGCCTAGGGAGGCTATAGGTTTCTAGAAATTTGTCCATTTCCTCCACGTTTTCCAGTTTGTGTGCATAAAGACATTTGTAGTACTCATAAATTATATCTTGTGTCTCTTTGGGATGAGTTGTGATATCTCCTTTTTTGTTCCTGATGGAGCTTATTAGAGATTTTTCTGCTTTTCGTTAGCTTAGCCTGGGGCGTTCAATTTTGTTATTTTTTCAAAGAACAACTTTTTGTTATTAATCTCTGAATAGCTTCCCTATTTTCATTTTGTTTAGTTCTGATTTGATCTTGTTGATTCACTTCTTCTACTGGGTTGGGTGTGTCGTCTTCTTTTCAGCTCTTTGAGTCGTTTCATTAGATTGTCTATTTGTGACTTTTTGTCTTTGGTATGGCATTTATGGAGATAAACTTCCTCTCAGAATTGCTTTAGCTGTGTCCCAGAGGAGGTTGTTAACTTGTCTCTCCATTGTTGTTTTCTTCATAGAATTTTTTTATTTCCATCTTGATTTCTTCATTTATGAAGTAATCATTTAGTAGGAGGTTGTTTAATTTCCACTTTTTGTGTAGATATGTGAGTTTCTGTAGGGTTGATTTTACTTTATTTCCACTGTGATCTGAGAAGGTACATGGTATGATTTCTTTTTTTTAATTTCTTGACATTTATTTGTGTCCTAGAATATGGTCAATCTTAGAGAATGTCCGTGTGCAGATGAGAAGATCGTATATCAGTGGATTTGGGTAGAATGTCCTGTAAATGTCAGTCAGACCCAATTGTTGTAGAGTTTTGTTTAAGTCCTTTATTAATTTGTTAATTTTATGTTTGGAGGAAGTGTCTTTTGCCGTCATTGGGTGTTGAAATCTCCGTTGATTATGGAGTTGCTATTAATCCATTTGCTTAGCTCCAGCAGGTTTGCTTTATAAATCTGGTTGCACCTAAGTTGGGTGCATACGTATTTAAAATTGTTTCTTCTCTCTTGTGAATTGTTCCTTCACCTTATATAATGACCTCTTTGTCTTTCACCACTTTTGTTGGTTTAAAAACTAAATTGTCTGAAATTATAACAGCCACACCAGCCTTCTTTTGGCTTCCATTTGCTTGGAATACTGATCTCCACCCTTTTATTTTTAGTCTATATGCATCCTTGCAGGTTAGATGTGTTTCCTGAAGATAGCATATACTTGGCCTGTATTTTCTTACCCATTCAGCCAGCCTATGTCTCTTGAGTGGAGAGTTTAAGCCATTCACATTTATTGAGAGAACTGATAGGTAAGATAGATTACTGTTCATTCTGTTGGGTTAGATTTTGTTGCATTGATTTCTCTCTTGAGCCACTGAAATATCTGGCCTTTAATCTTTGGGTTTTGGTTGTTTTTATATTTGTGAGTTTTCATTATGGTCTTCCGTGCATAACACTGTTTTGAGTACTTCTGGTAGGGCTGGTCTTGTCTCGGTGAATTCTCTGAGACTTTGTTTGTCTGAGAATGTCTTTATTTCTTCTTCATTACAAAGCTTAGTTTTGTAGGAAATAAGATTCTAGGCTGGGCATTGTTTTGTTTCAGAAGAGTGAGAATGGGGTCCCAGTCTCTTCTTGCTTGTAAAGTCTCATTAGAGAAGTCTGATGTTATTCGAATTGGCTTTCCCTTGTATGTTACTTGCTACTTTCATCTACAGCTATTAGAAGGGCCTCTTTAGTTGGTATTTTCGTCAGTCTGATGACTGCATGTCATGACGTCTTCCTGTTTGCATTGAATCTCCCAGGGTTCCTCTGAGATTTTTGAACTTGTATATTGAGATTTTGAGCAAGGCCTGGGAAATTTTCCTCTATTACATCTTCAAATAGCTTGTCCAACCTATGAGTGTTGTCTTCTTCCCCTTCTCTTAACCCTATGACCCTCACATTAGGTTTCTTCACATAATCCCACATCTCGTGTAGGCTTTGCTCTTTTCTCTTGTTTCTCTTCCCTATCTCTGTGACGGTTTTATTTAGTTGGAGGGTGTTATTTTCAATCTCTGAGATTCTTTCTTCTGTTTAATCTACCCTTTTCTTGAGACTTACCACTGTATTTTGTAGTTTCCTGAATTGATTCTTCATTTCCAGTAGTTCGGTCAAACTTTTCTTTATTGTGTCTATTTCTTTAGTGAACTTTTATTCTAGGTCCTGGAGGCTTTTACTGGTTTCTTTGTGTTAGTTATTGAGTTGTTCTTGCAGGTCGGTGAGTGTTCTTATGATCCACATACAAAATTCCTCTTCTGTCATATTGGTTGCCTGATTTTGGTTGGTGTCCATTTCTAGGGGGCTGGTGCTCCTCTTTGGAGGTGTGTTTTCCATTTGGTTCTTCATATTTCCTGAGTTCC